CAACGGCCTATCACTCTGGGTAATTATTCTACCACTGAATACTTCCCCAAGTAGGTTGTGTTACATTTAAGACTCAAAACAATTCACCTTCATTATTTTCAGTACTACCACCCTCTAACCATGCCAGAACGGCAATCTTGCATTGTCATCTCTCTTATCCACAGAGAACTCTGACTCTTCGGGTTCTGTGAATCCTTTAACTCCAAGTATTTTCTTTCTTTCTACTTCCCACATACACTGTGGCTAAATCCAAACCTCAGTATCTATCTCATCTCTAGATTAATACAACTTCCTGAATGACTATTTCTTTATCCTAGTGCCTTCCCAGTAACAATTCTTCTTACCACAATTTGCTGCACACCAAGTGCTGTTCTTGAGGCTTCCCATTTATTAGCTACTCTGACCCTTATAAGAAACTTACCAGTAACTATTGCCTAACAGATTAAGAACAGTAGTCCATACAGTACTTAGGTAATTCACCATGTTCTCTAAGCTAGTAAGTGATAATATCTGAATGTGACCCCAACAAATTGAGCTCCAGATAATAGTCTGTAAATACGAATTCTGGGATGGCAATCAGATGAAGCCAACTTCACTTTTTTCAAACTGTACAGACTTTAGTCACAACAAATTACTACTTTATACTATCCCAACTCCTGGAAGGTGAGTCCTCTTCCCTGATTAATCCCACATATTGCCTTCAAAAGTCAACAATACAGAAAACCTTGTAAATTAAGCTAGTTCCCTCACTCTATAGCACAGCCCTTTTATGGAATCAGCATAGATACATTAATATGTAGTTCTTGATATTCTGTATGTACAGAAGTTTAGCCTCCAGTTTTATATCTTATCTTTACACATAAACAATAAAATGTCTCCACTTCCAGTCTATGACCTTCTCCATTTCCCATCTTCCCAAATTCTAGTACTACAAGACCAGGCTGCATCATTAATAAATGGTTATCTTACTGACAATCATATGGCTCAAGTATTTAACAAAGCAGGATACCAGTCACTAGCCTCCTGTGGTGGTATGTTGGCTTTCTGACTTTATTCCCTAAACACATTAGATTTGTAATTTCAACATTCAGGTGACACCCAAAAGTAATCTTATAACTGTTTGGTCTTTTGTTGTCTTTGGTTTTGATTTTGTTTTAAGGTAGCTTATGCACTGTCCAGAAACAGGTTTTTGGGTTATTTTTCCCCTTTCCTTCTTCGATTCCTATCTAACAGCATCCTAATAAGAACCTCTATCTAACAGCACTCTCTTGTAAGAAGATGCCCAAGTCTTTAACAATAAGGCAGACAGTGAATTTCAAGAATGATTACCAATTGTTTAAGAACAGAAAAGACTATCTGGCTTTAATAATTGTGTACACTCTATGATCCTTTTAAACCAAAATACAGAATCAACTGTGATTATAATTAAGGCTAAATGTCTTTTTTATTTTCCTATCCAAAAGAACCATTGTGAAACTCAGGGAAGGCAATATACCAAAAGATAGCTTAAAGAGAGAAATACAGATCTTTATTTAAGCTGTGGATGAAAAGACAAAAATAATCAATTATAAGTACATTTCACTAAGTATAACAAGTCTCAAGCACGGAGCTCTGATGAAGGGGCACTGCAGGAACTGTTATCAAGAGCATAGTGCTCACAGCTACAATCTTGTGTTTCATTTTTCTGTTTTCCAAGTGTGTGCTTTCATTTACAAAGTTTTCCTAAAGGACCTTTCTGCTACTTATCTTTTACCTTAATAAACCATTTTAACTTAAAATATGTCCCCATACGCCTGCTGAGTCTGCAGTTACTATTCATTAGTAGAGCAACATCTAAAATGTTGAATCTTATATACATATTACTAAAACTTTGTTAACCTAAATCTCAACACTAACTGGTATACACTGAAGTTCACACCCTTCATAACCTGAAAACACCTTGAGTGACAGGCCAACTTAAGTTTCCTTTTTATTTAAAACCACCATTTCTATTTGTAATACAGTTCAGTTTAAAAAACCTCAGCTTTCTGTCTTCATTTCTTTTTCACTAGATGCATTCAAATTTCACTATAGCAATTTGAAGTGCTATAGGATGGCTCCACATTTAATAATCTTATCATACATAATAGAGAGTAAATACTTAATAATGTTATGGATTTTTTTAATTACTAGGAAAGTGTATTCAATTATAAAAGGGCAGCCTACGGATGTCTTTACCCTACCACTCTCAATACCCTCCCTATTTGTGACACTGTGCTGCACTTAAGCAAGACATTACCACTGGAGGAAAATGAGGAAAGGAGCACTGATTTGTGGATCCTTTCCCTTTTTGTTGTTGTTTGTGCTATTGGCTTGTTTGTTTAGACAGAGTCTTGTATAGCTCACACTGGTCTTTAACTGTTATGTACCCAAAGATGACCTTGAATTCCTATTCCTCCTGTCTTTGCCTCTGAGCTGAGATTACAAGTGTGAGCCACTATACTCAAATGGATATACTGTTTCCAATAACTATATATAAAACTGGGGTACCCTACCTTTCATTTCCAAAGAAACACTTTTCACAAGATCATTATAGAACAAACATCTCAGACAGCCTAAAACCCCAAGTGGACTAAATTACAGTCTAAACTATAATGCAAAGGAAGTAACATCTTGAGGAAGAAATGACACTGTACAGATTCAAGTAATAAATACTCGTTTTCTAGTGCCAGCTACTATGCAAGTTATTTGTTTTGCTTCAGAAACAAGATAAAAAGAATATCTCATTCTACAGAATATATTGGGTACTTCAGGTAAAAAGAAAATACAAAAGTACTGTATATAATCTGGATTGTATTTCAAAAATAATCAACTACAAAATTAAGTCATTCTTTTAGAGACAATAATGAAGAGAATGTAATACTGCACATTATAATCTGCAGCTCTCACAAAGCAAAAGATGAGTGTCATGAATGTTACTCCAAAGACAAAAACCTCTAGTCTTTACAAGCAGCAATTCAAAAAGACCATGAGATGTTCACATCCTATACACTGCACATCAATAGAAACTAGAGTGTTACAAATATCCTTTGAAATCAGCATAAGTTGATCAAATGTCAATAAGATACATGCACAGTACATACACAGAATATTACTGTGCCAATTTCTTTTAAACATTCACTTCAGATAAGAAAGGCTATAGTGAAACTATTCACCAGATACTTTGTTGTGAAATAGCCTCATGCAATTTTCTCATTTCAAAATTTAAATCTTATTAATTACTGAAAAGCCTATCTTTTACTATAATTCTTTTAAAACAAACCTCACAGCTAAATATTGCTATCTCCACAGAATATAGAAATTTAGGTCCAAATAATATCTTAATCCAGAGAAGTGTGTGAGTGTGACTTCTATCACAAATATTTGTGTGACACAGCCTTGCAGAGTGGTGGCAATGCCAGTGCCGTGTTTACAATCCACCAGATATTTTCATATCAGAAGTCCTTCATAATTCTTAAAATAAGTACAACTGCACTCTCATAACAAGTTTCTAATGTTCCTATCCTAATCAATGGCCAGCTATGTTTTCCACAACTTGAGTTGATGATAACAATATAAAATAGCAATCAGGACTCACAGATCACCCCAGGCACCGACCATGTCTTAAAAAAGTAAACCTAAAAGTTTATAACAACGAACTCTGAGCTATAAAAATTAACACGTCCTCAGAATGCTAGTAGAGGGCTGCAATACAGCCACTTCTCGACAAATCGTTTTCTCCCTCTATCCCAACAGCAAAAAAGGCTCCAGTGATTACTAGCAAAAGGGAACGGGGTGGAAGAAGAGCTAGAGTCTGGCTAACCTTTCTCATCTCTATAATCAAGGATACTAGCCTTTAGGTTATATATATATATGCCTTTAGGTTATATAAAACCCAAGAATGCTTCTTATTCTCCCCTATTTGATATGTTAAATTCCCCGAATGCTGTAATGTCATAGTTAAAAACTAAACCCAGCTAACCTAATGTGACATTTTTAAACAGAAACATTTTTTAAATACTAAGTAGAAATAGAATAAAACATTACACCAGGTTATAATTTCCTAATTTCCAGGTGTTGTGCTCTCACAGCCCTTTAGAAACCAGTTATGATTTTATTAGGGTAAACGAGCTTCTGCCCAGAGACCTGACAGCCCGTTTTCTCAGGGTGATGCTCTCGTTGCTTTTCTCTCCATCTCTGTGGACACTGAAGAATAAATTTAAGTGACACAGAGACTACAGCTTCTATAGACTAGAATAAACCCTGCTCTAGAATACTGACATTTAAATTGCAAGTTTTACTAAAGTTTGGGCAGTGTTTGGTAATATAACAAAAACAGTATACCAAAAGCAAAAAATTTAACATTGAGTATTTTACAAATATCCTAATACAATATGATTACAGGACAAACCTTCAATCATCTAACAGATGTCATTTAAAAATAAATCTAAGATTTCATTTATTTCTAACATAAAATTCATATTTAAAATTAATGTTCACAAAATTACTGATTTCCCAAAGATTTCCAACATAACAGCATTTTTTAAATAAACACAACCTACTAATTATTGTTTGTCTCTATTCTACCTTTTATACACATAGATCAATTATACTTTTATCCATTTTAGAAGCTGAGATTTAATTACACTAATGAGCTGGAAATGTCTGCATATATAAAAGAACACCCAGAAACTACACAGCACCTTCTTCAGGCATTTTTCTAAATACGAACATGACACAACCCACCATGTTCAAGACAATTTTCAATCTTAACATTCACAAAAGGAGAGCAACTTTAAATCCAAGTAGAAATTCTCTAAAACATATCAAGGAATCTTGATAGACAACCTCCAAGTTTGAGACTTTTTTCAGTTTGTAATTTTAGCCCGACACAGTACAGAATGGTGTGACAGACACTAAAATGCTTTATGCTTTTCTATTAAAAATATATATATAAATTCTGATTTTCAACGTCATCTTACCTGACCCGCTGAACTGACTGCTTCCTAGTGTCGTTGGTCTTGTTTTCCCACTATTAACAGGTGGAGAAAACATCTACAAAATAATCCAAATGTTTCTGTTAATAGTGAAATTCTTCCATACTCCTTGCAAAGAAAAGTTCACCAAGTGTCATTAATTTCAATAAGTTTCTTAATTTAGAATTTGAAATAAAAATGGAAAACACATTCTAATCAAGTGTGGCAATAACATACTGCTTGGAAAAACTGGTGACATTTATTATGAAAACCCAGCCACGGACAAGATTTCAATACAATTAAGTTTAAACTGTAAATTTTTACTCTTGATCTTCACTTTGGCCCTAAGTGAGTCTCATTACATTAACATTACTTAATAGCACTTGCAATCAGAATCATGTCCGATGAAATTACCACATACGGGAAAGATAATAACAGTTCTAATACAGCAGATATTGGACCTGCCTTCTAGGAGCAGTTAACGTTGAAATCAAACCATTAGTAAGAAATAAGGGATCGGCTCTGTGGCTTCACCTTTTATTTTTAATTCATCTTCCATATTATATACACCCTGCATATGCACAGTTGAAGTATTCAGCTCAGAAGGCTGGGAATTCTAGCTCTAGGTTGACTTTTCTAAAGCTGACCTCTTTCAGGTACCACAAACCACATGAAGTCTTGGGGAGGAAAACACTATGCACTAAGAAGAGTTTAAGAGAAAAAAATCTTTCATATCAAGTCTGAAATCCCTAATAACCATCAGAGCTAGGCAGTGACTCAACCAAAGCTTATGATTGCATTGTTCTTCTTTTAACTGGTTAAATCAAATGACCCCTCTGGCATTAAAGTTTGAAATCTGCAAGTCTAGACATTACATCAAAGTTCAGGTGTCCAACTTGGGGGAGCTGGACTCCAGCCCTCAGAACTGTCGCTGAAAAGCAGATGGGGTTGGCTGCTGCCATGTCGCTTTCCCCCTTTTCTCCCTGGCTCGCTATCTCGGGAAACCTCAACAGAACCCCAAGATGCGGAGGAAAGCTCGCATACCGCACTGAAGTCCAGCAGGTCGCTCAGCTCCTGGTCGGTCCCTATCGCGGCCATGCGCTGCTGCTGGGGATTCATCTTCAGCCACTTCTAGCAGGTCCTACGGCAGAGAAGACTAGCTGAGCCGCGGAGACCCGGAGGCCCGACGTGAGAGGGAGAGGGGCAGCGCTTGGGGTTTGGGGCGCCGGCCGACACGCCAGACCCCCACGCATCCCCACCAAGGGAAGCGAGGGCAGTGGCGGATGAGCCGGTTACCGCTCAGCTGCGGGAACCCACGCGTGGCTCGGTGGCTCCCGCAAGTTTCAGAGGTGGCTCGGCTTCGGGGTCCCTCGAGGCGGAGTACGGAACGAGCCCGCGCCCAGCGAGGGAGCAAGAGAGCGGCGGCGACCCGGAGACCAAGTGACTCACTCGCTCGGCAACAATAGAGCTGACAAGTTGCGGGGAGCGCGACGCGCACAGGCCCGCGTCTGCGGCCCGGACGTCCCCAGCGGGGGTCCCCGGGGTGGCGGAGAGCGCCCCACGCGCGTCCGCTCACGGCAAACTCCCGCCCGGCCTCCTCCTCCCACTTGGGCCGCCCTGCCCCGGACTCGCGGAACAATGAGACGGGCTCGGCGGCTCCCGGGCCCCGAGCGCCGAGCCCCGAGCGAGCGCCGCGCAGGCCGACTGCCGCTGCCCGGGCCTGGACCCCGCGGCTCGCGCCTCCGCCCCGCCGCGCGCCGCAACTTGGACGCGGCCCCGGGCTCCGCCGCGCGGTACAAAGGGACCTGAGTTCCGCGCGTCCCGCCCGCCGCCCGCGGTTACCTGCCGCCCGGGCTCTGCATCCAACCTCCCCGATTAAAGTTCACTTTGGCCGGGAGCGCGGGCTCAGGCTTGCCCCCACGCGCCGCCGGCGGCTCAGTTGTATCGGGCCCGCGCTAGCGCTTAGGTCCGCGCGGCTCGGGCGCCTCTCGGACTTGGCCGCCCGTGGCTCCCCGGGCGGGCTGGCGGTCCCCCGATAGAACTTGTGGGTCTCCTCAGGCGGACATTTTTTTTCGCTGAGGCGGCCTCAGCGCCGAGCTCCGCTCGCCTCCGGATCCCTCCGCGCCTCAAGCGCGTCGGCTTAACCCCTCACTGCCCGGCGCGCTCCCGCCTCCCGCGCCGAGGAAGTGGGACCGCGGAGGGGGCGGGGAGGCGCGGGGCGGGGCGGGGCGGCGGACGGACAAAGCCCGCGGCCGGCAGCGGGCGTCTCCTCACACTCGCGGCGCCCTGAAGTGCCGCGACGGGGACGCATCTGGGTAGCATCTGGATTCGCCACCCGCAGCCATTCCCGGGCTCAGCCACGCCGGACGCGGGAGGCTGTGGAGACGCAGCTGTGGTGGGCGGACTCTGGGAAAAGCGCGAAGCCCCTCACACCGCGCTAATCAGCTCGCTCACCTGAGCGTGCCTTCCCACCTGAGCCCCGCACGGGGACAACGAGTTCTGGGAAAGGATTGAGCCTGGCCCTTGGTGTAACCAGAGACAGCCTCAGGAAGTTAAGTCTTGATGAGCAAGTTCCGAACTTGGCCTGAAGCAGCCCCACAAAGGAAAGATTCCTTGGAAGTAAGGTTTTCCAGAGGGGGAGCTAGGGTTGCCATTGTGTTGTGGTCGGCGGGAGAGCGCAGAGAAGACCAGTCAGGCCCAAGCCGAAGAAACACTGAAGACAAGCATCCAAGGAACAAATTAAAGAGAGTGACCAACTCTAGAGGATCATGAGTGTGAGAAGGGGCCATTGGCCTCTGAACTTCACGTAAAGAAGATAGAGTCGTTAAGTGGGCCATTACTGTAATTAGCCGAAGCTGTCCACCCAGAGGAGATTGGAGTTTGGATGTGGGGCCTACATCTAGACTTAATTCCAGATCTGATCGTATCCTACACTCCTCCAAATGTATTCCACCGTGGGCCCATACATGCCCTGGCAACTTGTGGAGTGTGTGCTTCCTCCTTAAACAACGTAGCATAATTTCACCTAAAAATAACTAACCAGCACAATCCCGTTTCCTGCTACAGTGACTGGTTGGTTAACTGGAATAAAATAAGATGCAATTTACTGAGGTCTTGGAGAACATTTTGCATATGCTCAAAATAAATAAGCTAAATAAAATCTTACACAGGTCTAACCAGAATAAATGAAACAGACAAGAGAGGTCTGATATTTGGTGATGTTTCCAGTCTTAACAGTTCTGAGCCAGGTCTAGCATCACTGATTAAATGAACAGGGATAGGTTATCCATCTATTCTTTGCAATTGAGTATGTTCTAAGTGAGACAAGCAGCAATCACAAATTCACGTGCCCACACTACAAAGATGTAACCACCAAATAGGAAGTTTGATTAGGTAACTTGTAAAGCCATACTTCTGTGGTAAGATTGACTAGTAAAACTGGAAAAGAACCTTGAAGGAAGGAGAGACCATGGAGCCACTTGAGACAAAAGAAGAGGTGGCTTATACTTCTCACACAACTATTTCTGAGGAAGTCGCAGGACTCACTTCTTTGAAAGACTGTGGAAGGTTTTCCTATCTATTATGGCAAATACAAGTTTTGTGTTGATTTTGTCATTAGATTGGGAGTTCTTTGAGGGTTAGGAGTGACATGCACCTAATATTGTACCCAGCACAGCAGACTGGATAGTAACCTAAATTTATTTCTTCTGTTTAAAAATAGTTATTTAATATATAATGTGTTGCTGTACAGGTGGCTTTAATTTTTTTTGAAGGAAAGCTGGAGTTTGGAAATTATCTTCATACTTTCATATGGTCTCTGTGTGCTTTTTAAATAAAGGAAAAATATTCCCATCAATGAATGGCCAATGATATTCCTGACAAATATGAAAGACCCAAAATTAAAAGTGGAGTTTTAGGGCTGGAGAGATGGCTCAGTGGGCAAGGTGCTTGTTGTATAACCTACCTGTGTTTTGTTTTTTGACCAACTGAGTTCTACCCCCAGAAATCACATGGTAGAAGGAGAGAACCAACTCCCAAAGCTGTCCTCTGACTTCCATATGCACTCAATAACATATTCATGCATGCACACACACAATAATTGTTAAAAAGATTTAATTAGAATTCCACATCATTTATTACATTATTTACTGACTATGCCAGATAGAGCTAGAATTCTACTGAGAATCTAAGAAAGAACTAACAACACAAATTCCATGTTAATTATAGTACTGATAAGTTAATATCAACAAATGAATATTGAAAAAGTATTTAATACACATCTGTTATATCCAAGTCATGGTGCTGAATGCTTTTGGAGCCAAAAGTTCAAATCTACCCTGTCCTCAACAAGATTATAATCCTTTTTGCCTCCATGCCATGAGCAGACACTGGAATTCTATCAGCATGGCTTCAGTCCCAGCTCTGCACACAACACATATACATTTTATAAACAAGACTGGAGTTATCCTGAGAAACAATCATGGTCAAAAGAAAAAGCAGCTAAAGCAATGGGCTTTTGTTTCTTTGACAAATTAACTTGATCTTGGCCCTTTTTAGAAAAGGATTCCTCTAGAAAGCTCAGAGAAGAAGAGAAGAGAGCTACTCACGCCAAGCTATAAGGGGGTATAACCAAATGCTATTGTACAAAGTGACTGTCCTCCTAGTGTTTCGTAGATGCAGGATTTATGCTCCAAAGGGGAGCAGCTGATCCCAAGAACAAACAATTTTATGTAACAATTTAGCAATACCTTCACTTCATGGCACTCCTAGCCAACTAAGAGCTGACATTGTTCAAGCTATTGTAATATGGGTTACACAAATCAACATCAGACTTTATTAGATTCTCCCACTTTCCTGAATGCTTGTAATAAACAATGTATCTTCTCTCGGAATGCTAGTAAGTTAAAATAATTGTCTAGTTCTTACTAGCATCATTTATACTCATTATTTAAACCATTTGGAAGCCTTATACAAATGTTTTCATATTTAAGGAGAAAGTGGATTGGGTGATGGAAACCTCAAATATGAGAAGCTGAGGCCAGAGGAAGCCAGCCTGAGCTAAAGACTCTGAATCAAAAAGGGGAGTGGAAGGGAACTACTTGCTTAGTTTGTCTTTTTGAGACTGGGTATACTGCATAGGCTGGCCTCAAAACTCCTATTCCTCTTCCCTCTGCCTCCCAACTATGGGGACTGCAGGCGTATGTCCACATACCAGGTCAAGCACCAGATTTGAGGAGATAGTCCCTAATCGTCCAGCTTACACTCACCTTTTACTCCCACGGGGTTCTTTCTTCTGTATTTTATAAAACATCCATTCAAATCAACATCAAAACAAATTCAAATACCAGAAAAGAAAAATAAACCAAATGTCCTATTATACTTAGCTATACACTTCAGATTCAATAAATACTTGCTGAAGAGTGAGTGGTTAGGGCAGGGGGAACGGCTCAGCATCTGAGAGAGTTTACTACTCTTGCAAAAGACCTGAGTTCTGATCTCCAGCCTCTTCTCTATTTCATACACTCATGCAAATACCTCTTTCTACCAAAGCAAAAGCCTACAAATATATTTCCTACAAAGGTGACAGGTTCCTGGTGGATAGTGGGAAAAGGTCTATCAAGTCAACATTTACATACTGAATGGAATGCTAAGGTTCCCAGAAACCAATTTGATGTCCAAAATCCTGCACGTTCCATTTTTCTCAAGATGAGAAGATCTTTTGTCATGTATGCTAATCAACCCAAAATAGAAGACCTAAAGACACTGCATGGTGTAACTTAACTTCCATGAAGCCTATCAGCTTTTCTTAACTATCCCTTTTCCTTCTCTTTCATCTTTTTTCAGACACTAGCTAAAAGCCTAAGTGTGCTTTCTAGACATTTTAGGCTTTCTCATTTTCTCTGAAGCTCCCTTCTCCTGCTGCCATGAACCTGCTTGCTGACCATGACTGACCTTTGACCCAACATATTTTCCTAAAAGTAAGACTCTTCCCTTTCTCCATCTCCTTCCTCTCTAGCAGTTGTGAAGATTTTTGGTGTTTTCCCTCAAACACTAGTAAAATTGTCCTTAAACTAGCTGGGAGGTGGTGGGAATACACCTTTGAGCCCAGCACTTTGGAGGCAGAGGCAGGCAGATCTCTAAGTTTGAGGTCAGCCTGATCTACAGTACAAGTTCCAGGACAGCCAGAGCTATACAGAGAAATCCTGTCTCAAAAAAACAAGCAAAAATTGCCCTTAGGCTACAAACAAGAATGAGGACAAGGAAAATTCTTGAACTAGAAGCTCAAAGCTAACCTATCACACTTTATTTTCTTACTTCCCTCTTTTTTTTTTTTTTTTTTTTTGGTCAGTGCTGGAGATTGAACTCATATATGCAAGCCAAGTGCTCTGCCACTGAGCACACCTCCAATTCCTAAACAGATCACTCTACAGGGAAGTTAATCATTACCTATCCCTTATCTTCTCACTTAGTTTCTGATCATCATAAACACTACTGCCTTTTTCTTAAATGTGAGCAGGTATCCAAAAATTATCAGAATTCTGAAGGAAGCCTTTCTCGTGAAAGACAAAACAAAGCAAGGTGACAAAGAATGGAACAAACAAAGAAAAGGTAGAGTCAGTTAGGTCTCTGTGTGTGTTCAAGAGAATTGTAATCATCAAACAAAATTAGGCAGAATTGTTTTTTTTAGGAAAACAAGAAAGTAAAGAGTATTGAAAATACAATATGGATTCTCCAGGGGACCAGAGTTTGGTTCCCAGGACCATATTAGACAGCTCACAACCACCTATAACTCCAGCTGTAGGGGAGATCTTCTGACCTTCACTAGTACCTAAACACATATAGCATTCACACAGAGGGACACCTAAATAGGTAAGAATAAATCCTTGGGAAAAAAAGAAAACAAGCTAGGCATTAGTGGCACATGCCTTTAATCCCAGCACTTGAAAGACAGAGGCAGGGGGATCTCTGTGAATTGGAGGCCAGCATGGTCTACAGAGCAAGTTCTAGGACAGCCAGAGCTACACAGAGAAACGAAAGAAAGAAAGAGAGAAAGAGAGGGAGGGAGGGAAGGACGGAGGGAGGGAGTGGATTATTTCAGGATGTTCAAATCCAAAAATAAATAAATTAATTAAATAAATGGAGAGAAAAAAATA